GCTACGAACCTCAGGGTCCTCAGTTGTTTGAGTGGTTGTGTCTTACCTGTCCGCAGGTGCGCTACGAACCTCAGGGTCCTCAGTTGTTTGAGTGGTTGTGTCTTGCCTGTCCGCAGGCGCGCTACGAGCCTCAGGGTCCTCAGTTGTTTGAGTGGTTGTGTCTTGCCTGCCCGCAGGTGCGCTACAACCTGAGCCCCGCGGTGCGGCGCCGGCGCCAGTCGCTGCCCAACTACGTGAGCGGCGGCGGGACGAGCGCCGCGTCCAAGGCGAAGCACATGCTCAAGCGGAACTCCTGCGCCGTGGCCTGAGGGACCTCTGCCGCCCAAGCCTGCGGGCGAGCCTGCGGGCGAGCGGTCGCTTACTGTTAACGTTGACGGCTGATCTGAGCCCGTCTGCCATATGACGGGGCGCGATGGGCTATGGTTGTGGTGCTCATAATTGGTTATTGTAGCTCGTCGGCGAGCGCGCTCAGTCCTACGCCCCTTTCCTCTGTACTGTTGTTTGTTTTTGTTATTTCACGGTGTTGTTTTTTTTTCAACTCTTTCTTCTTTCTTTTTCGGGGGGTGCTAGACGAGCTTGTCTGCGTGCGCGAGAGAGACGCTTGGTAGCGCGTGGTGGGCGTAAGAGAGGGGGAGAGAGAGGGTGCAGCTGTAGCATGCGTATAGGACCTGCTTCGCCTCTCTCTCTCTCTTTCCCTCTCGCTACCGCCTGCACAACCTGCGACTATCCTGTATCTATTCCTAGCCACGTCACTAACAACGGTGCGTGTTCTGATTGGTCGTTGCGCGGGAAGGCCATGTGTATTTGTATGCGGTTTGTTTTTGGCGCGGCCGCCAGCGAGACTGTGCTTTTCTCGTGTCATTGGGAACACGTGTTTGTGTTTGTCCCGAGCGCGCGCGTGCATGTGAGCAACTCATCAAAAGGTGGGTCAGTGTATCTAGTCTGAAATCTCTACTAACAGTAGTGTGCCATTCGAACACTTAAAAATACACGCCAAAATGCCAAAACGTGTGCATGCCAGTCATCATGACACAGTCACACAAAAGAGTGTGTGACAACAAGGTCACACACTCTTTTATGTCTGACAAGTATACCCCTTTTACTTTAGGTCACACACTTTTCTATGAATGACATGGCTATCACACTCTTTTCCATGCATGATACTATGGTCACACACCTTTTTGTGTGTTACATTTTGGCACGCACTTTTACTTTTAAGTGTTTGAATGTCAGAACACTTCTATTTGTAGAGTTTGTGGTTTGAATTGAGGATTTAGAAGGAGTATGATGAGTCCACAACAGGTTGTGTATGTAAGTTTTTTAATGACAACATGTATTGAAGTTTGTGAACATAAGAGAATGTGACCGTAAGGACGGTCTTTGAACAGAAAAAACTATGGTGTTAAATTTAGTTTGTTTTGAATGAATACAATTGTTTTGTATTGTACGTATGGGGAACAACCTCAGTCGAAGGCCTTTTTGAGGGTCGTTTATAGTTCCAGTTCCCGTACATATGTACTAGTTTTGCGCACTAAATGCGTGCCTTTTTATGTGATGCGTATAATAATGATTTACCTAATTGTATATTGTTAACTTGAAACTAAGAAATCACCGACTGAACTCCTTGATTTGCGCGCCAACGTATGTAGCTGAGTTCTGTGCTTTTCTACGCGTCTGACAAGATATGCGTGCGGCAAAGAGTATCTTTTGTGGCGACAGAGCGGTGCCAAAGGGCATTTGTCCCGTCTTATTTCACATTATGTACTCATGAGTTTCGACTCCATTAAGTAGTACGCGCCGCCTTAATCAGTATTATTTGCTATACGTGTTATTATTCATACTTTAATACTTATCTTATGAACATTTTACGCCCTATTGGACGTTCTTCTAGGGAAGGCGCCCTCGCCGGTTCCGGCTTCGATGCTAAAAGTGTGACCTGATCTAGTCATCGCTCACAAAGTGTTAGCAAAGTGAATAAAAATTGTTGTATAGCTAACCGACACGGAAACCTTGCGGATGTAACGCCTGCAATGCGCTGGGTAGGCCAACCCGCCGAGCAGCTGTGCGGCGCGGGCCGGCGACCCACGCCTGTGCAGGGGGCACGGTCAAACGTTCCATCACGGCACCTGGGTGAACGTTCATATCTTTTGAAACCTTTTACCAGTCAGAATGTAATAATAATCCATTTTGAATCATTATTGATGATCACTTTGCAATCCCCGAATATGTGTCATTCGTTTCTGACTGGGCCTTGCGTATGTAAAGGAGGTTGTCCTGACGTCCTAGACAGCTTTCTTCATTTCTTCTTAAAATTTACCATATTAACTTCTTTTTGTATGCGTTGGTTAACGCATTCCCGGTAAGAAATGAAATATCGGACCGATGGCGAAACGATATTGAATATCAGATATGTGTCAGTTTTAGGACCATCTCAGTATCGAAGTGTTGTGAAAATTTACAAATGATATCGTTCTGATATCGGTCCGATATTTCATTTCTCACTGGGATTGTCCTTGGGTACATGAGAACTTCCATAGTAAGTACTTCCAAGTGGAAGTATGCATACTTCTATAATGTTTGCTTCCTTCTATCCGCATCGGCACCACCTGCGATCATCCTAATGCGTGCATATTTTGCCGCTAATGATACACCGCAATGTCCTCCCTCACCCTCAACTTGTCTTGTCTCCTTCTCTGCCACTTCGTACTCGACTCTCTCTCTCTTTCCACTCATCTTTGCTTATAACTCGATTTTATAGTTACTAATTTGATTTCAAAGATACTCGAATCCGAAATCATTTCCATCTGCTCAGATATACAGCGCATGGTTAACTAAAGTTACGAAAAGTGTTTACTAAAGAATGTTTACTTAAAGTGCGAGATAATGGTTTCGCTTAGTGTATTAATTTTTGCGGTCACTCCATGTTTTTAAACTGTGACAGTGTACTGAATGATAAGCTATTCTGGGCTGTGCTATTTATTTTACATTGAGAGAAAATTTGATGGGCATGTATGAACTGTACAGTTATATTTTATGACATGGGTTAGGAAATCATTTATATTGTAGTTATGTAGTATTATAAAGCTTTATAACGCCCGAGGCTGCTGCTAAATCGCAAATGGATGCTTGTGTGTGTCAGTGCAGTTTTGTCAACGTTCTTTTCTCGGTTCAACTTTCAAGTTAAAAAAGCGTTCCTATGAATCAAAATTTTTTATTTCACCACTATTTATGTACCACCTCATTTTAATCATTTTAATGTAATAAAAGCTGATTGTGATTATTAGAGGTACACAGTGCGCTCCGTTTCATTTTATTTTTCTCTGCCCCATATTCCCACCACGTTGCAAGAGATCATGCCAAATGTTGACCGCGCGCCGACCTTTCTCTTGCCGTGCTCCGCCCTGCCGCGCGCTACTGTGCTCCCTTTGGCCACTCCCGCCACGACCACCACGCCGGCGCCGGCCGCGCCACACATCGGCCCCGATGGGCCATAGCCGCCGGCCATCAGCCGCAGCGTTAGCCGGCCGGCTGAAAGGAAGCCCCGGGTCCATAAAGGACACAAATGACGTCTTCATGACGGCGGGTGCCGCTGCTGGGTGGGGCAGGCCCCCCCGGCGGACCCCGGCGGACGCGCCAAACACCTGGCCGACAAACAGTGATAGGATGGGGGGCCGTTCGGCTCGTAATGCCCGCGAGATTTCATCCGGCGCCTAGCAAGCCTTCCCCTCGGCGTAAGAACAACAACAAAAGGGACCGGCGCGCGGTGCGTGCGTTAGGGTCGGTAATGAAAAGCCCCCCGGGAGACGTAATCCTCTCGGCCGTCCTGCGGCGGGGCGGGGCGGGGCGCTCAGCCACGGTGACTGACCGGCGGAGCACCGCGAGCAGCGGACCCCTGGCCCGGGGTCATCTGCCCTCGTAAAGAAATGAGGCCAGGGTGGTGCCGGTGAAAAAAAAGTGCACGTTCTGTGATATCCACCCAACATGAAACAACCCACTCCCCAGCGCCCCCTACCCCCCTGCCTCCAAAAATCGTCAATGTTGTTTCAACCAAAGTTTGCATTACGGCAGATATTCTTTTATTCACGTTCTTTTTATTGGCTACGGTGAAAAGAAAAGAAGGAAGGGGCCTAGCACATATAGTGCCCCGCCGATCCCGATCCTGCAAAATCAACCCGACCCATTTCTTTTGTTGTCCTTTTTATTTCTCTTTCTTGTTTTGTTGGCTGTGTACCGACGCGGCCCGACGCGCCGCCGCCGCCGCCACATACTGCCATAAGAATCAGGCCTGGGGCCGCTGCGTCCGTC